TCAGGCCATAGAAGCAATTAAGAACAAGGATTTTGGCAGTGAAGCTGATCCAGGATTTGTTCTTGGAGCAATTTCTGAGCCCTGTTTGATCTCTTCAAAGAAAATGCAAGAAGTAAGCAGAACAAATGTTTTGCCCCACTCAGAGGGTAAGTTTCTATTTTTGCCTTAATATGAAGTTATCTGCATTCCTTTTCCTTTCATTCCAGCCTTTTTTTTCTCATTTTTACTTCCATGACTAGTAGAATTTAACTTTTGCTAATACTGATACTGGCTTTAGTAGGTGATGATGCTATGGCTGGAACTGATGATGGCAACATGGAAAGCGAAATTGAAGCACCTGAACCATCAGTAATAAAGAGAAGGGATTCAATTGATCAGAATGCCAGTCATGTCAACAGCCATCCCACCTTTGTGTCCCAAGAGGGAATCAATCTCCAGAATGACATTGGGGTTTCAGGGCATGAAAATCAGAGTGGTACATTGGAAGATAAAATTGTGGAACCTAAAGCGTCTTCCAAGAAAAGAAAGAAGTCCAAGAAGACCAAGGATCTAGTTGGAGGAACGGAAGCATTGGATGCAGTACACGATAGAGGTCCTGCAAGTGATATACCTCCAGAGCGGCCTACCTCTGTGACTGGTGACCATTTGAGTGATAATGCTGAGCAAGATGGCACAACTGATGGAAAAGAAGCATCAAAAATGAGAACATCGAACTGTTTGCCTTCAGCTACTGATGTGAGAGCTGATGATGTAATTCGAGATGTGCTGGAGTCCTTGCAGCAGTGCAACAATGCTCCAGCAAATGCAGAAAATATGGACAAGAAATCAAGGAAGAAAACTAAGAAGAAGAGTTCTACTGTTGTGAACCCCCCGGAATTGCAAGGAAAAGATGATGTTGATCACCGGGATTCAACAATTCTGGCTGATAACATGAGTGAGGTGAGTGCGTCATCTAAATCCACAAGGAAGACTAAGGTGGTGAATTCAAGTTCAGCCGCACAATTGAATGGATCAGATTGGGGATCTAAAAGTAAGACAGGGTTTGGAATTAGCCCAGTTGACACTCAGCTTGACTCATCCCAAAATACACTTAAAGCCAATCGTGAGGGTAGGCCCATTCAAGATGTTGTCAAAGGACATCACCCTAAAAGTGCCAGTGTGGTTGATGGTAATAACGGCATAGAAGTTCCTTGTGAAAGTGAAAGGATCGAAAGCCAACACCAGCATGAAATTGTTGATTTTGGTGGGATAGTCGTTGATAAGGTGACTGACAAAAAGGGAGTGGAAACTGAGGTGAAAGGGAAAAGGAAGAAAAAGAAGCCTGATGAACAGTCAGGTCGATCCACACATGATTTATCATCTTCACTGATGCTAAATGGGAATCAACTTAAAAAGGCAAAAGCTCAAGCTGCCAAATCTAGCTCCATCCAATCTCAGAGATCATCATCGAAGGTTGAACCATATAACTCCCCTGTTCAATCAAGTAAGACATGTTTGACCATTTCTGGAAGGGCAGCAAAAGAACCTCTGCAATCTACAAATAAATCTGAAAAAGTCAATTCTATTCCTAAAGAATCTCAAAGGCCCATTGACATCAATTCTTCAAGGATGCATACAGGTCTGGGGAAAAACAATGATTGTGCTGCATCAAGGTCTACCTTAGAAAGATCTAAAAACCCCATTAATCTAAAAGGTGGAAGTAACGAGCATCAATCTCATCTGGATATTGCAAAAGATAGTGGAAGTAATAACAGGAAAGTTGTGAACAGCCTGGAAAATAAGAAGAGCTTACTGGCTATAGCAGGTCCAATATTTAAGCATGATGATAAGGAGAGTTCTGATGATGATGTAGTAGACGACTCAGATGACAGCACCAGAAGTCCATCGGATAATTCATCATCTGATGATGATAGTGACATGAACGGCAGTTCATCACGAAATGGTAATTCATATTCATTATTGCAAATTCATTAGTTCTAAACAAAGTTGATTATATGACTGTTAGTTTGCAAATTTCATTTTATTTCGTTGTGCTTATATAATTTTTCAATAAAATGAGCAGGTGGATCAAATTTCATCGTTTTCTTGCAGAATTCCACTATCTCTTGCTTTTAATTGTAGTTGCTCTTATGTCCTTCATGAAATTAAAATGGTGCCTGATTTCCAATCCCTCCCCATCCCCCCACCCTCAATGAGTTTGTTCAAATCAACTTTTATGTTTTCATTTTCTAAATTTTTCAAAGTGTCTAGCTGGTATTATTGGTATTCATTAAATATGGGGTTACTATTTTTTCCATGTACAGGTTTGATGTATAACCAAATTTGAAGATATAACATAATTAGCATTATTCTCATACTTTTGTTGCTTCCTATTTATGATATGAATTGTGATCCAAGATTGCATAGATGATAGTTTTTTCTGTTTATGTAGGATCTTATAACTCAGAAGGGGAAGGTGGTGGAAGAGAGAGAAAAAGCCCTGGGTAAGTTGGATTAAATTCCTTTTTTTGAAAAGCAAATCGAGACTTTCATATCAAAGAGGGGAATGAAATTTTTCTCCTTAAAACATATACATCAGTGATCAGTAGGCAGAGGTCAAAACATATTGGTTCATGTACTTTAGTTGAGTATATTCCCCCATTATCTTGTATATTTGTCTTTAAGATGTAGATCTTGCATATTTGTAATTTACTGCTATTGTTAGCAACTTATATGTATTGTTTAGAAACACCTTGCTAGGCTTGAAGCTGCATTTGATATACTTTGATGTTAATCAATTTTTGCATCAACAATTTTTCTCATGCAACTTAACTTGCTAAGTGAGGTTTGGCCTTTCACATGGTGAAAGCTAGTCCATTTTATCATCCCTTTCTTCTCAAAATTTGGCTTGACAATTGATTTTTTTTTTTTTTTTGTGGGCATTCTATATTTAAATAATTGTTCTCTTTGGATTTTGCATTGGTTTTGAATTTTGGAGGGAAGCTAGGGCTAATATCTTTTGCAATGCATATCCAAATGTCAAACTGCAGGAAAGAATTCTTCAAATGTGTTTTAGTTGCTTTTCAGTTCTTTGTTAATTTGATAACAGTGATAATGAAATGAAGTAAATAAAATTCTTTTTTGATCCAATAATTTAGCTATGTAATGTTGTATTGCCCACTTTTTTCACCTAAAGTCTTCCATGTCCATGATTGAGGCTAGAATATGTTCCAAATTTTTAGTACAGCGTCCAAATAAGTCTAGCACTTCTATGTTGCTAGAGAATGGAAAAAATTGAGTTCATAGGATTCACATTCAAAGAAAGCTCTAGGGCTAGGTTTGATTTCAAAGTTTTCCATCGTATAGCATGCAGGCTGTATCTTATATTTTTTGCTTGCCTTTAAGTGTGCTTTTTACTTGAGCAGTTCTACAAGCCCAAAGAGCATGTCCTTGCATGCAATCCTTCGCAATTCGAGCAGTTACAAGAAGGCCAAACTAACAGCTTCTCAATCACAACTTGACGACCTTGATAGCCAGCCTGATGAATTTGTTCCAGATAGTCAGGCAAAATAGTCAAAAGGTTTCTTTCTTTTATCGGTTTCATTTTTAATCTGTTGTGGAAGGGGTTTTTGTTGTCCTTGACCCTGCAGCAGGGGTCATTCTTGTGCTCTCCAATACCATTGTCAGGGACTGTTGCCACCCCACCCCGCATGTTTTTGTAGTATTGTGTAGTATAAGTGGTATGCAAGGGGTTTTTTGATAACAATGAAGTGAATGTAATTTGCGCCCTGCTTTCATTCGCATTAAAGAGTGCTGGTGAATTTTAGTACTATGGAATATGACACCCTCCCATCCAACTTCATTCCCTCATGTCCACCCCTTGTTCTTGTAAAGGGCATGGTATTGGGGTTCATTGGAACATTGTCAAGGATAAAATTGGTGCGGCATGTGAGGAGGGGCAGGCAGACAAGGAGTGTTGCAGTTGGAGTTGTTGATGATTGTAATCCTCAAATTTGATATTACAATGGAATGTCAAAGAAGATAGAAAAATGGCGATTGTGGTGAATTAGTGTCAATGACAAGTAAGGAGATGCAAATTGACTAGACAAGTCCTACTCTCTCTATTACTTCACGACCATCTTCAATAAACTGTGAACGAGCAATCCAATTTCTTCACAATTATTAAAAAACCCTGGGTACAAATAACACTCTAGTTATTCCCGCTCCCTTTTCAATTTATAATATTATGATCCTTATTATATAGTAGGCAATTATGATAGGATGAAAATAATTGTAGAGTTTTCTTTTGTCCCCATAAGTCATAACCAATTCATTCTACCTCTCTGTTACAGCATTCCTTTATTTGCTTACTTTGCGTTAATTTTACTTAATAAAAGATTGTTATGAGCTGCTAATATCATGCTTAAGGACCCCACTGGGATTGGATTGCATCCCAGCTGCTTATTTCTCTTCTTTTTTTTGTTTATTTTCCTTCTCCATCCATCGCCAACTCTTGTGCAAACTTAAAGTTTCGTTTACTTTATTATTCTTCTTTTTTTATTAAAAAAAAAAGAATATCAATCAATTAGAGTTAATGACAACTTTGATTCACTGATTTTGTTATTCCAAGACGATCCTTGGTCTTTGATGAAGTCATCCGACCAACATTCAAACTCTCGTGGTTGACAATCGTATATGCTGGGTAAAAGCAAAATTGGAAGGCTTTTCCCAACGGATTACACTTCACATTTGGAGGCTCCGAGGTTGTTTATACTATAACTTTTAAATAATAAAAAAAAACACACATATGAATATCAATCATGCCATATATATTTGAGGTAAACCTATAGTATCATTATTTTTTAATTGATACATAATCTTTCATTTAAAAAATAAAATTTAATTTTTTTTTTTAATTTCAATACGTCTATAAAACATTTCTATATAGACATCATTCATTTAGACATATAAACCCTTCAGTTTTAGCTAAAAAAGTTCTTCATTTCTTCGGAATGCAACCCTTCGAAAAAGAAAAGAAAAAGGAACATACACTCTTACTGAAATAATTACAATTTAATAATAAAAGTTTAAGACTAATATAATATTGGGAAGGAAGCCAATCACATGCAGAGCCCAGACAAGTGTAAAAACGTGATTGATGGATGACTATACCTTTACAAAAATAATAATAATCCAAACAGTAACAACAAAATTATGTATTATTTAACAACGAATAAGAATTCATTACTTACCCTCTATCAAAACTTGATCAATGGAAAACCAAAATAGAAGAAAAAGAATCAGGACCCTTGGATCGTATTTTTCTTCCTGAAAACGACCTCGGTGTCCAATCCGAACCCGTCAACTTTACGGACATGAACCAGCTCCGATCTCTGGAACAACTTAACCAACGGTTTAACGCTGTACAAATCGTTAGCCGAGTACTTGTCAGCCCGCTTTGATAGCGCCACGTGTAAGACGCAGATCCCGTCAGGCTTCAACGTTCGCTCGATCTCGGCAACGAACTTGTGTGGGTAAAGCGCGTGGTCGAACACGTTGGAGAACTCGAAATCGAAAGTCTCGTTATCGAAAGGTTGGTTATGGAAGTCGCCTTTCAAGACGAGTGGCGGGCAAGGCACGAGGTCGATGCCGATGGAGTCGGGAACACCAACGCGTTTGAGAGCTTCGACCTCTTGGCCGACGCGGGCTCCTATGCAGAGAGACTTGGAGGAGTTGGAGAGGAGGTTTTGGAGCTTTAATTCGTGGAAGAATCTGGAGAAGACTTGGATTTTGCGGTCCCAGTCACGGGTTGTCCATACTTTTCTTAGTTTCGGGTTGAGGGTTTTGTTGAGTTGGCGTTGGATGTAGGAGTCGTAGGAGGTGTAGCCAGGTCGGATTTTGAGGTCCTCGGAGGAGGAGACGGCGGAGGAAGAAGGGCGATTGGTGATGGTGGTTAGTAGGGATTGTGTACGGCGAGGCTGGAGAGAAAAGAAGAGGAAGAGGAGGAGGAACGAAAGGGACAGGGAGAGGAGAAAGTATTTAACTATAGAATGTTTAGTTTTAGCGGTTTTCATGCCTGCATGAAAAGCTTAACACAACACAATTTTGACTTTCTTTAGTTTCTCTCTCTCTCTCTATATCTATAAATAAATGAAAACATGAGAGAAACCCTGTACTTTGTTTTCGGTGATGCGCGTTTCAACTTACAAGAGAGAGAGTGGAGGTGGACCAATGGAGGGAAAATGGATTAAATGGAAGAGGAAGGAGAAAAAAAACACACAAACAAAAGAAAAGAAGGAAAAACTTCGAATCGAAAAAGAATTACGTTTCCGGCTGGACAATGTGTAGATGACACGTGGATTTCTTGTACGCATGCGCGAATCGAAGTGGTTAGCTTTTGTATGATTGTTTTCTTCACAGTTGTATATATACGTAAGCTTATCATTATTATTTCACGCAATACTTCCAAAAGATGGATTCCTATCGAATGGGCGGCCCATGATTCCTTTCATACTGCGTTTTCCTGCTAATTAACAGCATTATTTTTGTTATTTTACATAATTTTAATATTATTATTTTCCGCAGACAAACTACAAAATTATAAAAAAACATATTATTAAGATGGTTGTATAAATTATTTAACTAAAATTATAGTCCAAATTATTATCAGTTAGTAGTTAGATTACAATATATATGTAAACTATAATACCTAATTAGAGTTAACTTATGATTAGTATTATATATATAGATGCATACATACATTTTATTCAGTTCTCTAACATATAAAATTTATACAATTTATACAATTATGTAGCACATATAAAGTTCAAGTTGAAGAAATTAGTCAACACTATTTAAGGCATGTTCGATCTCTTAAAATAGAGAGAAAAAAAACCAACATCAAATTGTCACATGATTAGTACTACATGAATGGTAACCATATATTAGGGCGTAAAAATTGACTTTTTCTTTTTCTCTTTTTTTTTTTGATTATGTAGAAAATGTACCGTGGTTAATACTACTATTAAGCTATTAATAGTACTAGCAACAGCCAACCAAGTCACACCTCCATCCAAATCGGGGCAGTGGAGTGAAAATATTTCGGGTTTAATACCTTGATGAAAAATGGTAATAATTATGAAGGAAACGAAATTATTGCATACTTATCTTAATTTGCTATCATAGTGAGTGAAGGGATTAGTTTAATGAATATTTTATGAATTCATAAATGCTAAAAAATGGAATTAATATTATAAGTACTGAGGCGCTTTATGGTGCATATATATATATATATATATATATATTGTGTGTTTGTTAAATGCTATATCAAATAAACTAGTAGCATTAATAATGAATACTAGTGTGCATGTATAAAGTGTAGAGCATAGAATCAAAAATAGGAAAGCAAAGAATTAAATGAAGCAGCTAGCGCAACAAGTGGGTTGAGAGTAAATGGTAGAGGTTGGGTGGTAGGGTCATGCCGGAGCATCCGGAGTTCCAATGCATGTGGCATAAGCTGGATAAAACGTGCCCAGAGTGGCGGAGTCCATAATTCCAGCAGAGCTATGTGTATATGTATACTTATCCGTTTGGTATGGACAAAGACGATCGGAATAATGCAAAGTCAAGTAAAGAAAGTGAGCAATTAGGGGGCCCATTAATGCAATTTGAAGTCGGCTGTAGGGCGTAGGTTTAGGCTCATGAATTTTGATTATTTATTTATTTTTTAAAGTTAGATAACATGAAAAGAGAAGAAATGTAAAAAAAAAAAAGTTCTTTAATTAAATACAAGACTCATCTATATATTATATTGATTCTAACGTATACACTGGATTTAGGGTTTTAAAGGGTATTTTTGTTCTTCGTTTGAAAAAAAAAATGAAAAAGTAAGGGAGAAGAAAAGAACAGAACAAATTGAAAAAAATAAAAAGCCAAATAAACAAAATAAAAAATAAAAAGGAAAGAAAAGAAATAATTGAAAAAAGGGCAATAAAATAAAATTCATCAAGTTTTGCGTTTTGGACCTTTTCTAATTTTCTTATTCTCCTCTATTCTTTATTGCTATTTTTTTATTTTGAAATATCTTCAAATAAAAATATTATAATTTAGAATGATTTAAGAAAAAAACATTATTACGCATATACATTTGCTAAATGCATTCGTTTTTTTTAATTTTTCAATTTGAGCAAAATATTTTGAGTTCTATTGGAAAAAGAATAGAGGAATAAAGACGAATGATATAATTATTAAAAGAGGGAAAAGTAAAATGAAGAATTGAAATTCTTCTATTATTCTTATTTGTGTTCTTATGTTTCGTTTTAATTTCTTTATGTTTCTTCATTCTACATAATTTTTTAAAAAATATAATTTAAGGAGATTTTTAAAAATATAAAATAGTAAAATTTGATGAACAAATACGTATCTTTTAAAATTAACAAAAACATATGTTTTGAGCTGATCATGGATTTTTTTTTAAAAAAAATGTTTTCTAAGTATTTTCAAACAAATATTTTTAAAAATATTATGTTAAGATTATTTTCAAAAAAATCGTTTATAAGTAATAAAAGCAAATTGTTTCGAAAAATCCTACTATTGTTAAATGCTATTGTCAAATTTGATAATGCAATGTAAATCTTAATTTTATAGTAATAATAGTGAAAACTAATTTTAAAACATCCGAGTATTCGATTTATTAATTAGTATTTGAATTTTTTTATCTAAAAAAATATTTTTTTTATTTTTTTTTCTTATTCTCTGGAAGCTTCCCCTCCTCTGTCTGTGTCTTAGATTTTCCCACTGTTCATTCTTCTCTCTTTTCTTTCTCTGTTTCATTCTATTTTTTTTTCCTTCTCTCTTCCTTGTTCTCTCTGTCTTTTTGTTTTTCTCCTTCTTTCTTTCTTTGGTTTTTCTCTTTTGTTCTTCTTTCTTTTCTTTTGTTTCTCTCTTTTGTTCTTTGGGCCTTTTGTTTCTCTTTTCCATTCTTCTGTTCAGTTAGATTTGTAGATTTGTTTTTTATATATTTTTTGTTATATTACTTATAAATTTTTTATAAACTTCTATTTGCAAGTGTGAGTGAGATTCCATGCATTTTGGCTGCTTTTACAGGAGTTTGGTGTGTTCTTTATCAGTGACAAGTTTCAGTGGTTGGCTGTTGTGTCTTTTCATGTTTCAATAATTTGATTCTTTCTCTTTCTGTATTATGTTTTTGCTTTCATCTTGAATAAGTTATATTTGCGTTCTCTGCAGACTTACCCAGTTTCTCCCATAGTTTTACAAAAGGAACCATGCATTAATAACACTAAAGAGTCATGTTTTCAGTCCTTTGCCTGATTGGTATTTACAATTCTTACATTTTTATATTTATTAGAATGTTAGACTTACTTAGCTGAAGAATTGATTTTGAGTTACTTAGCTACCATGCATATTTAATCACTCTAGCAATAGGTTTGCACTTTATGATGTATCTAGCAAAAATGCCATTTGTTTTGTTTTGGTTTCTAATTTTATAAGAAGTTAAATGACTCAAATATAACTATCACAATGTCCCTTTATGTTTTGCTTTGAGTTTTAATGCCTAGTTTATGTTTATTATTAGGTTCATATTTGAGATTCAAGGCTCTATCACTCTCACCAATGCATTTGGTGTCAGCAACAAATTGATGGTAAAATGTGCTCCATTTACATTTATTAACCAACATGTATCATATGTAATAGTATTAATTAAAGTAGCTTAATATGTTCAAGCAGAGGCATCAAATTTTATGTCCAACAACGCGGCCTTAGCTTTCTCCTGCAATCTTTGGAAAGTTAATAACTTATGTGTCCCCATTTTTCAATTTTTATTTCCAAATTTCATTGATAGATTATTATTTGTATTTGAATAAACAAATAAACAATCAACTTTTGTGTACACGAATAAACAAAATGTACGTCCATTTCAATTTTTCTAAATACAAAAAACCCAAAAAAAAAAAAAAGGAACACATGGATAATTTTATTTTCAAACTTTTATATCTTTCCTTTGGTCTTGCAGGTGGAGTCATATGCTTATCTATATTAATGAACTTGATGGCCAGATTTTAAAATTTAAATTACACAACTTATAATTATATTAGCTGCTTAACTTTCCAGTTCATATTGTACTATTCATTGTTAACTAACAAATGCAAGTGTGGAGGAAAAGCTGTCTTTAGTTAACAAGGGATCACAATGAGGAGGACCCCAAGAACCATCAAAGACTAGATTATCTGACAACCATTATAAGCTCCCATTTGCAATATGTGGGGATTAGGAAATAGAGAATAGCAAAAGTCATAAGTGATTGATAAGAGGCAAAATTTTAATACCAAATCATTAGTCTGTTCATTATATGCCAAGATAACTATCCTTATCATTGTCTATGTCAGTAGAAAATTGTTTTTATTCACTATTATATTTTGTTTCTTATCCGAGCTTATATGTTTAACTACGATTGAACTCATGGAGATTTTAAGTAACTATCAGAGTTGTACATGATTCCACCTTACAAATCAACGGCAAGCAAGTACAAGTGGTAAGCAAAAGGTGTTGTTGTGGAGTGGTTTTCCTTGAATGATTGATCTGAATTTGTCATCTCTATTGTGAAAATATTCCTCTTGGGCATTGTAGAACAATGCCGGAATTTCTAATAAGAATAAAGCCGTGTTTCTTGATGTCATTTCTTCTTCATCATTCATTGAATAATTTTTCATTGTTTTGCAGTTTACTGTCACTACTATTAAGGTTTGAGAGTGTTAATGATAATTTGTGGGTAAGAGTTTTACAACTTTTTGCACCTGTTTCAAAAAATTTGCAGTTGTTTAAATTGATTATTATTTAGCCTTTACTTCTTTTAGCTATATTAATGAATTTATGGCCAGTTTTTTTTTAAAATTTAAATTGAATAACTATAATTATATCATATGTGTTCTTCATCATTTATTGAACTATTTTTCTTAATTGTTTTGCAATTTGCTGAAAATTTTAGAAATAGAGGAAAGATTTTGGAGACCAAATATATAGGAGCTATTTCATGTGTTTTTTTAAGTGGGATGCGGGGTTTGTTTTATTTCTTTTAGTTGTTTGTAATCTTTTTTATTGTTTACTTTTTCATGACATAGCTTACTTACAAATAAGAGTCTTTCAATCTTTTCTTGCTTCTTATAGTTTATTGGCAGAATTAAAAAAATAGACATTAGATTATTCACCTCAACCTGTGTTTTTGGATCTTAA